AGTCCAAGGAAATGTTTAAGAGGGCGGACAAGATTTTCGGAATAGCGCAAGAGGAAGTCGGACGGACCGAGCCAATGGCCTGGTTATCTAACATTCCGAATCAGTGACACAAAAAGGCGGCAAATTCTTTTGTACGAAACCCTCTATAAGTAGTAGTATAGCTAAAGAAGGTGATATTTCGAGCCCTATAACATTTTAGTGTCAATTTGATTTGCTCGAGATGGCACCTACGTCTTATTTCCATATCCTGCTGGTGCGCCTTTTCCCGTTTGATCACTTCAGGTGGAACCCATCCCCAGGACTTCTCCATAAGTATTCGAACAAGAGCGCGCTGGGTACCAGGTATTTTATCACCATAACTCAGTAGATTCAAGAGTTGAATCATTTGGGACGTGGTGAATGCTCGCATTACTTTTTTCACTGCATCATTATACTCTTGAGAGTATGTTGATGATCCAGGTCCACTGGGTTGGGATGGCTGTAATGCTTTTAAATCGTCGAGTCCAGGTGGTTTACTGGATGCGTCCAACTCTTCCAGAAAGGACTCTATACGACTTTTATAGTCCTTTTTGGGTACTCCTTCCTCTTCAACAGACGAAACAGGTCCCTAGATTGTATGAGACATGACTCGTGGAAGTGTGAATCGACTTACTTGAGGATTTCCGATAGGTGCTTTCTTGGATGTTGTTACAAGTTTCGACTTGCCCTTATTAGTTGATGAAGCGTAAAATCTTGAGGTATACTGTTTACAAAATAAACAAGCGCGACTAGCTCGAGAAACAGAAAACATCGAATAACGGGATCGGTAGACGTCAACTTTGGTTCAGTTACAGGAGGACGTCTTTAGTGACACCTTGGCTTCACCTCGTGTACAGGTCCTAAGAAAATAGTATTGCAATCATGCCATTATAGTGATTAACCCAGTACAAAGGAACTACAGACATAGAAAGGAACATCCGGCATTACATAACCAATTAGTCCTCGTCTTCGCTAATTTCTCCCATATCGACGAGATACTTTGTGATAGCGTCATTTATCCTCATCATGAGGTTATCTCTATCCCAATCTCCACGGTGAGCCCAAACAACGTTCAAGCATGATGCTCTCAAAGCTTCCAGCTGTTCGACGTTGAGATTGGCGGTCTTTGTGGCAAGGGTTTCTTCGAGCGCCGAAAACAGTGAGGATGTTACATTGAAAGTAGGAGGTGTCGAAACCCCGGGACTCGGCGTACGGGATGGTGCATGAATCACCTGCTGTGTTAGCCCAATAGGAGCGGTATCAGCTACTTTGGTGGAGGACGGGGCATCGTCTGTTAGGGGCTTTGCAATTGGTGAAGGGGACGGTGGATCTAGATGATCACTCATGATTGTATCATTAATCGTATCGCCATTAAGGGCAATGGCGGGTAGTTCGAGGGTATCATCTTGCTCCGTGAACCGTACATTTTTTGCATTCCCACCTTCATCAGTGCCGAACGGTGACATTTTGATTCGCTTTGGCGGATGCGGTCCATCAGAATCCTGCATTTCATCATCTCTGGCCCTTTTGAGGGTGGACCGATCTTCATGGCTGGCGCCTTCCTTTGGAGATGAAATTACCATTGCCGAATCCCCATTGACGGGGTTCCCATTAGCCTTTTCTATTTCTTGCTTTTCCTTTTCCGCCTTTTCTCGTTCTTCGATTGCTTTGCGTCGCTTCGCGCGGAAGCGCTCTGCCATACGCTCCGTTTCGAGATTGAACATTGGCTCGGTCCGTCC